TTCTTAGTTACTTCATTTCTTTTTACTATAGCACGTCCCCGGTACGCTTGGCACAGCCAACTAATAAAATAAAACAATGTTTCTCCTTTTCGCTTAGGCAACCATTACTAGAGCCTTAAACATGGCTAATTGCATATGCATAATGTGTTTTCGAATTTTTAGTGTGAAACATATAACAAGATACTGATATACGTCAAATTTCAGATTTATTGTGAAAATAAATCAGTCTAGTCAGCATCACTTCAAATCTCCGAGTTTTCATTTCTTGGGAACTAAACCCCCGAGACAGCCAGAACCCCAAACTGCGCACTGAGATAAAGATTCGTCGCAGTTATGACAAATAGCAATTTTGGAGGACGACCGACACTAGTCTACACACTCGCCGCCATCTTTCGATAATGCTCATTGGGATTCCCAGAACTCGAGAAAACTAATTCAAGTGCCAATCATTTCTTCTGATAGATTTCCAAGTTCTATTGTTTTATTTTTGTATGTTCCTCATACTAACTCAATAATAGATATGGTTACTGTGATAATGTGATATTTGGGCAAGACTGAATAAACTAACAATACTCAGTTTGATACATATATTGTCACGTCTATAATATCGATACATCAGCTAGAGTACTAGTGAGTTCCACGGCAAGCCAGCTAACAATCGCGCCGTGTCGTACCTTCCCGCACGACGAGAGATATGCGCATGTCACATCTCCTCTTCTTTAAGACTACATAATATTTACAATGCTAAGTAACATGTCTAGTTCCCTATATGTAGTCTTTGAATCTAAGCGGTGGCCTACTTGGTCGGACCTGGCGGCCCGATGTACTTGTCAGCGGTGGCCGCTCTGGGGGTGCCTTTTGACAAGTGTAGTCTCCATCGCTCGAGGAAGATCCACTAGATGAAGGGTAAGGCCGTGGGTCCCTTTCCGAATACTTCTTGGGGGATGATCCTGGACTTGGCGTTCTGTACGCCTCCGGTGTTGTATCGTCTGCCGTCGGTTTAGCCAAACTAGCTGAACTCTCTAGTGAATGCGCTGTGGAGGATGAGCTCGGGGTTCCGTAGGCCTCCGATATGTTATCCCTCTCTGTGGGTTGAGATAACCGGGCTGGACTCTGCTCTGGGGTGCCCAGGAGTGCTGGCTCTCGTAGTTCATCTGTGGGCTCTTCAGGGTGGACTATGGTACTCAGAGGTGGTACTGGTGGGGGACGTTTCCACGTCAGAAACCAGTCCCTACTGGAACCATTTTGTAAACCCCAAGTGTTTTCAATGACTGATGTCGTTCGCTCAAGAGAGCTGGCTAACATCCTTTTCAGGCACCGCCCATCAGCTCTCTTTCAGAGTTTTTCGGCTGTGTTTTGTAGGCTAGTAATGTACTCACTACCATATGCACAGTGGCAGGCCTGCTAGCTATCCTCGCTAACCCCCGTTAGAGACTGAGGTCTACTAAACAGCTGGTCCGCTCTCACGCTCAGCTGGTAGTTTTCCACACCCACCTACATACACCGTCCTACTTCTTCTCTGTTGCTCACAACCACATCATCATCTCTTTCTGCGTGTTCTGTGTAGGCTTTGTTACTAACTCCATGCGCCACTTTAGGAGCAGCACTGTTAATTGGAACGCAACAGCGAATCGTGCAGGACTATCCCCAGCCACTCAGAGGTGGTAACTCTAATGTTAGAGTTTGTCAGGAGGCGCCTTTCTGTTGGCTTGGTAAACCTCTGTAACAGCACAGTAGAGTGTCTACTGTGGTAACAGTCAAATGAGGTTGGAGAAAAAGGGTTAGAATTGGCCTCTCGGGTTTATCTGGAAGTTTGACCAGGTACTTTTGGTTCCGTCTGAGTGTTCCTTGCTCCGTTTGTATGATGTTATATGAACAAGGATGTTCTGTCCGACCAGTTATTGTGCGTTCTCAACTCATATCCTTGATCCACACTCTTTCCATCTCTTGTAATTGTGTCATTGGCTTTGCATTGTGGTGCCTGTTGTAATATACTGCTTGATTATTTATTTATTCATTTATTCATTCATTTATTTATTGAACAAATAACTTCCAGACAGATTAGGCTCTGGTATAAGAAAGTACATAATTATATACCTATAGGTAAACATCATCATTCAAAATATATCAACAACTACTGTAAATTGGCAAACGAAGAATATTTGTGAAAAAAATGGCATGACTAATTTTAAATACTAAGTCATCTCCACCAAACAAAAGAAAAAAGAATTGTTGAAATGTTGAATTTGGTCACATAACCTTTTTTATCCCCATGTAAGCACTCCTTCTCATAACTAGTCTTTTGAATTAATAACCATTATGATTTTAGAACACTATTCATGTAATTTCTCATAAGGCTGATGATGTACATATATATGTCCGAAACATGTACCAACCAATTCTGATGTGTTAATCACATTATATGTCGTGGAGATGACTTCGTGTATTATTTAGTATTTGATACTCGACTCCACTTTGAGATACCATGGACTTCTACCAAAGATTATGATCAATTTTATCCAGTTCGCTCAGAAATAATCAGTTTTTTACTTCATTTTTGAATGTACGTATATTTCTACAATGTTTTATATTGCCTTTGTCCGATTATGGAGCTAGCGGCGTCAACATGAAACAAGTAATATTGTCTAGTTTCAAAATAATTTTCGACTCAAATTTTTTATTCATGATATTATATGATATTTCAAGAGTTTCAATTCTATATATTTCATCTAAAGAATACGTATTTGTTATTTCATACAATTGATTGGTTGGTGTATCAAATGGGAGACGATACAATACTGTTAACGATTTTCTATTTTATCTTTTTCAATTTTCATTTCTCTGTATATTCGTGTATGATGGGGGCTTTGGTTTTAATAGTTTGTCCAATCTTGGCAGAGTGTCACGGAGATGACTTCCCATCAATAATTGGGCTGGCATTACATATATTGTAGGGGTGTTTCTGTACACCAGTCCTATTTGTAGATCTTTCTCTTTTTTCATCATGTTTTTCACGAGTTTCACTGACGATTCGGCTAAGCCATTACTGGCCGCATATTTGGGGCTACTAGTATGTTGCTCTATTTTCCAGTCTTTCAAGAATTCTCTGAATTGGTGGGAGACAAAATATGTGGCATTGTCTGTACGAAGAACCTTCGGACTGCCGAATCTTGCAAAGATCTCTTTGAACTTTTCTATCATTTCCTGTGATTGTGAAGATTTCAGCTTTGCACCTTCAATAAACTCTCTATGGTACTTAGTCTTGTACTACTAAGTAATTATTATTGTTGAACTCACACAAGTCTGCTCCAATCATATATACCATGGTAAATGGGGTATCTATCCATACAAAGAAATGACTCCACCTTATCTTTTTGATGTTTCAAGCACACTTCACAGTTTTCGACTGTTCTTGTAATATCATTATTGATTGTAGGCCACCAAACTATTAATTTTGCTCGTCCCTTGCACCTTGAAATACCTTGGTGACCTTTGTGGATTTCTTGCAGGCACTGCCTTGTTTCCTCTGGTGCAATCTCAATTCTGTCCTTATGAAGTATTATTTGTTCGAATATTGTTAGGTCCATTTTATGCTTATAAACAGGTCTTATTCCAAGTGGGAGTTGTTTTACATTCTTTGGCTATTCTTCCAGGATGTAGTGTCCTAAGGATGCCATGAGGTCACCTGCTTGCATCGTTTTTGCATTCTCTGGCTCCGTCGTCAATATTGAAAATACCTTAATTTCTTCATCATCTTTGTCTATGTTGTTGGGTGCTCTGGATATAGTGAATCCGCTATGGTCGAATCTTTTCCAGGTATATGGATGTTGTCATATAAAAAGCGGATCAACCTTATACGAAGTCTTGGTGTTAGCTCATTGATTGGTTTGGTTTTTAGAATTGGTATTAGAGATTTGTGGTCGGAGAGTATTTGGAAATGTTATCCTACCAAATATTGTTGGAGACGTACTACTATGATTTCAAGGTTGCAACTCTACTTCTTGCCTGAATTCGTTTGTTTTGTTCTTTCACTGCCTTCAGCTTGATGAATCTTTTCCACTGCCTTTTCCATTGTTAATCCATTATCCATCTGTAATTTTTCTGGCAGTTCTCTGTCTTTGATACCAACCACCAACCTGTCTCTCAGTAGCTCATTGCTTAAAGAACCGTATTTGCAAGTTTTAACAATTTTTTTCAGCTCTGTTGTCTATTCTCCGGTCGTTTCTCCTTCTTCCTTGATTACATTATTGGTTGAATTTAGCTCTCTCATAAATGATGTTTATTTTTCTTTCATACAATTTGTCAAATAATGTTTTCAAAACTTGATAAGATGCAAAGTCCTCTTGCTTTTTATCGGCACTGCTCAAAACTTCATCCACTTCACTGCCCATTTGTAGCAATAACTGGTTAATTTGTTGATTTTGTCCCAATTGGTTCCGATTCTGTATCTTTCATAACCTCTTATCCAAAATTCCCAGCCATTGTATCTGAAACTAAACCTTTCATTGGCGTGCAGTAGTAAGTTTTGGTCTTTCGTTTGTATCAACTGTTTCATTTTTCTCAACTGAGCTTCTACTTCTTTGTTTTTATTGCTCATGTCCGTTTGCGGTCATCACTTGAGAATCTTTCAATGATCGACTTGTCCTTTGTCTCTTGCGCGCACGAGGTTCTTTCCACAGAACTCAGTGGTTCTTTCTTGGGAATACGGTATACTCACTTCCGAACCTTTCACATGTGATATTTAGGCAAGACTGAATAAACTAACAATACTCAGTTTGATACATATATTGTCACATCCATAATATCGATACATCAGCTAGAGTACTATAGTGACTTCTACGGCAAGCCAGCTAACAATCGCGCCGTGTCGTATACTTTCCCGCACGACGAGAGATATGCGCATGGCACTACTTATAGTTCATTCGAATATCTGTTCAGGCATCTCTCTCTCTCCGAACAAATATGTTCACTAAGTGGTTATAACACACGCATACAAAACATCAACCTTCGCTGGCTTCTATGGTGCTCATTGTGACATTGGGAAATCAGAACTGTCAACGAAAAATTTGACAAGACAAGAGTGAACACGGTATTTCAACATCAACTTCCACTTCAAATGAGAAAATCATGTCTAAAAAAAGTAGCCATCATTACTGGTGCGAACCAGGGTATCGGTTATGAAACTGCACTCGGGCTGGCTAAGAGGAAAATGAAAATAATCATGGCTGACAAAGCTGACCAGACAAACTCGAAAAATAAAATAATCTCAGAAACTGGCAATGAAGAGATAATCACTGAACATCTAGATTTAGCATCTTTCCAGTCGATAAGGAAATTTTCTGAAAAATTCCATCATACCAATAATCACTTGGATATTTTGATTAATAACGCTGGAGTATTTTGTTGTAATAAACAAACCACAATCGATGGCTTAGATGCTGTGATGCAAATCAATTATCTGGGTCCATTTTTACTGACAAAATGCTTAGAAAATTTGTTGATGCAAACTGTTGGGAGTCGAATAATCTTTGTATCATCCAGTGGGTCTTTTTACCACAAAATGCGACTGATCAATTTGAGGGAGCCCAACTACTACAATCCTTATTTAATATCTGGTGCAATACAGTATTATAATTCGAAGTTGTGTACTATGATTGCTGCCAAAGGTTTTTCAGAGAAACTGTACTCCTGGAATGTGATTTCTAATTGTTTCCATCCCGGAATGACCAATACTGATTTTTTGATAGCCGATAAGAAGTCTACTTTGGTGACAAAAGTTGTAAAAAGGGCTTTGGTGTGCTTGGCACAAGATAAGAAGAACTCTGCTGCTTTATCAATATTTCTGGCTACTTCAGAGAGTATAAAATGTGTGTCAGGTCAATACTTCGTGGATTATCGGGTACAAAGAAGACCAGCCATATTGGATAATCAAGGTTTCTGCCAAAGAATTTGGGATGAAAGTGTAGAACTTGTAAGTCTCGCCCACTAGTTCAATATCGAAAGAGATTATAAGATTACTTATAATATACTTTTGAAATTATAACTACGCATTTCCACTTTTTAACTAGAACAAATGAGTAGCAGCTAACTTTTTCATCATATGCATAAGTAAATACCAACCAATTGGAATGACCACTTAGTAGATGATGATGACATTATCTAGGAAAAACATGGGAAACTTTAGTGTTTGGGGTGTATTTGTGTCCCAGCAAACATCGAATCACTGGCTGCCTTCTGGCTCCATACATGATCAGTCGGCAGAGTGCTGGCAACGGCTGAGCTGCAACGGGCGAACGTCGGCTCATTGTATGGTATATTGTAATCGTTTATCCATAATCCAGCCAGCACTTGACCAGTAGTATCAAATCGTGATGACATTTCACTACGTCGTCTAAACATCGGCAATATATATGGAATATTGAAATCATTCAACTATAATCCAGCGGGCACCGGGCCATTAAAAGGCATCTGCGCTCCACCAGACTTCATCCTATGATATTACCCACACATCAGCCCTCTCCTGTGTAATTTCGATGAAAAGATATATCTATACTTTATGATGAAAAAATTTGAAACGAAATATTGGGAAACACTTGATTAGTTAGTACATAATATATGATACGATTGTAAATAATGAAATATTGATTACTCAATTAGTTTTCTAACGTAGATAGTAGGTGAATTAAGTATACCTAATGGTTGAATGTTGACAAACGACCCACTCGCAACACTGTTATCTAAAAAAGTAGATTAGTTATGCGACGTATGTATTGGTCAACCCAGACAGTGGCGTAGAGATAGGAATTTTGATGCCAGTCACATCAAGAAATTTATTATTCAGAAGCCGTAAACCCAGTATAGGTTGGATTGACAGCTTCGGGGGGTAGTTGAAGCAGAATAGTTTCATCACCAACAACACACTTTAATGTAACATAAGTTGCCTATAGCTCTGTATATGAATATCAGTCTAGTTTCTAGTAAGTATGCACAATATCTCGCGATATTTAGGGTCTAGTTTTTATGTTTCAGAAAAACCACTGCGGTTCTCATTCTTTTCGAATACAGGCAGTTCATTTTCGGTATTTGATTGAGTAGCAACCCTGTTGGTATTTGAAATCGCTAATTCTTGTTCATGCAATTCATTGTGATTTTTACCTGGTGTTATGTTATTTCAGACGAAGGTGATACTGAACAATTTCCCCCAAAACTGCCATTGAATAATAAAAGCCAAATCTCCGCCTATAATTCCGAATTATTTTTCCAACCCCACTCAACCCCTGAGACGTTCCGTTTCATCTTGGCGACCAACTCGTAGGCAATTTTTCGGAATTATGGAAGGAAATAATACACCATCATCATCGGCTAGTTATAATCTGAGGAGGAGAGTCCTCAGCAATACCGGAATTCCTCCATCCAGGGTAGCAGATTTGAGGGGCGGCCTGTAACTTGCCAGTCAATAGAGTGGGTCGATTCGTAGGTTTTGTTTCAGGAGATTAGCCAAAGTAAATGAATAAACTCGTGAAATTATTATTTTAATAACAGTGTCACAATGAACGGTACAGATAATGATCATACAATCCGGTACTCCGGTAGGTATCTATAATCTAACTCATAAATCTTGAAACAGCGCAAAATAAGAATGAAATAACTGCAATCGCGAAAACAAAGCAACGACAAACGATACTCGAAAGTCTGACGATTCACGAAACATAAAATGTTACCTTATAGTCCACACACGGTTAGAGTGGATTCGTCTATTCTCATCACCGGAACTACAAACAACAGAAAGGTATCTTCCTTCTTCGTACTCGGCTAATACAGCCTTGAATACAGCCAACACGGCTACTACTTATACTTTGATACAGGTACTCGTGGTAGACTGGATACTTCTACCCAGAGGTATCGAATAATCGGAATTCGTGAAATACTTAGGTACCAATGGTATGGTATATCGAGCGCTACCAGTTCACTCGCTGTCTCTTGCTCGACTCTCCCGGCGAACGGCGATCCTGCGAACCGCTTGAACACCAACAACGGCCGATGATCATCACGACAGCATACACTGTCTCTCTCCCCTACATTCCATCCATGCCACCATTTCCCTTCCAACGTCTCAGTAACACCGCTTTCGCGAGCACCACGAAACAACAACCGAAAATAGAACACGACTACGTAGATAAAAATAATACAAAATATATAACCCATAGGCGTGCATGTTACATAACCCCCCTACTAAAAATCCTTAACATAAATGGACTTTTAGTACACCCATAACACACGCCTATTTACAAATGTTGAACTGGTATAAATGGCTTCAAATTAACAATATTATGAATACCTAGAGACGCTCCAGTTAGGTCGTCTCTCAATTCATACGCATTTGGACCCTTTTTAGAGATTACAGTACAAGGACCACGGAACAATAAGAAAAACTTTTTAATCTCTTTGGTCATAGCTGAAGATTGATCATGAGTACGAACTAAAACCTTATCGTTTATTTCAAACGTCATCAATTTCTTTCCTTTATCATGGCGCAATTTCCGCTTCCCTGCTTTAGATAAAAGGCATTCCTTAGCTAAGAAAATCATCCGATCATGTTCAAGAGGAACTGAATCCTGCTCAGGGTAAATAATATTTTTCGTGAATTTATTCCCAGCCAATTTGCCAAAATGTAACATTTCCGGTGTGAAATTGGTTCCACTATGAATAACCCGATTCAATAACATCTCAACCTGTTTTATAACCATAGCCCATTTTTGATGTTGCGCATAACATAATGATCGAAGCAATCGACCAATTTCCCGGTTGATTCTTTCTGTTAAATTACCCTGAGGGTAATAAACTGACGTATGTCGCGTAGCTACCCCGTTTGACTGCAAAGTTTCCCTCCATAATCGACTAGAAAATTGACTGCCGTTATCAGAGAGGATAACTTGAGGTTTTCCTACTTGCACAAAATATACCTCAGTGAGGCATTTTAAAACAGCACGAGTCGTGGCCCGTCGTAGAGGAAATAAACGAACATGTTTACTAAAGGCATCAATTGCCACGAATAACTGAGTTGCTCCCGAACGCGACACAGGTAACGGGCCCATCAGATCCACACAGACTATGTGATTGATACTATCTGGAATGACACTATGCATTTCACCAGAGGAATATGGAGAAATTTTCGATTTCTGACACAAACTACATCCCGAAATAATTTTACGACAGGTGGGTCGCATTTTGGGCCAATAATAATGAGCCTGAAGGGCACTGATACATTTCTCAGCCCCAAAATGGCCATTTTCTTCATGTTGTTGCCTAATGAGAGTTTCAATATGACAATGAGGTACACAAATTTTAAACCGCTGATTCGATTCCGTACCACGTCTGAATAATACATTATTATGTATAACAAACCACTGATTAACACGAGGTGCTACTTCTTCTCTAGCTAATTCATCAATTATCTTTAAACAAAATTCATCTGCCCTCTGATCACGAACAATATTCTTAAAATTTCTATTAACTTCTTTAGATAACTCAGTCAACTTCACAACAGCAACTTCAATTTCAATATTTTCGGGTACTTCGAATTCTACTGACTCTCTATTTTTGAGAGGATATCGAGATAATGCATCCGCTAATTTGTTATCTTTGCCTTTACAATACTGTACCTCAAAATTATACCCTTGTAGGTAAATAATCCATCGAGCTAATCGCGAAGTTAAAAGGCGGCAAGATTGTATGAAAGATAAGGACTTATGGTCCATTATAATTGTTAGGGGCTGTCCCAAAACAAATACTCTCCATTTCTGTAACGCAAATATGATTGCAAGGGCCTCTTTCTCCGTTACAGTATAACGAAGTTCGGGACCATGCATCATACGACTAGCAAAAGCTATATAATTTCTCGTTTGCGAAATCTCATCAATCTGAAAGAGACATGCTCCTAAAGCATATCCCGACGAATCAGTCTGTATATAAAATCTACTATTCATATCAGGGTGTTTCAACATGAAAACTTTTAAGAAAGCTTCTTTGACGGCTATAAAAGCTGTAGCTTGTTCAACCCCCCACTTCCATGCCTGGTCTTTTTTAAGTAGATTTAATAAGGGAGAAATTATACTAGAAAAGTTTTGACAAAACCTAGCATCATAATTAATAATTCCCAAGAATGCTCTCAAATGACGAATATTTCTTGGACCCGGAAAATTCTGGATCGCTTCGATTCGACCCGGGTCCATGCTTATTCCTGTCGGAGTGATAATGTGGCCCAGAAAAACCACCGATGACCTACCAAATAATGACTTTTTCAATTTGACAGTTATTCCTGCCCTTCTAAATTTTTCAAAAATCACTTTGAGGTGATGTAAATGAGTTGACGCGTTCTCAGAATGGATCAAAAGATCATCCACATACGGGATTAAGAAACCATCAGTATCCGATCCTAAAATCGTATTCAATGCTTTAATAAAACTGGCCACCGAAGTTGAAAGACCAAATGGCAATACACAAAATACATAAGTTTGGCCATCGTAGGAAAACCCAGTAAATTTCTGATGACTCTCATCTATGGGAATTTGCCAGTACGAAGAAGTAAGGTCAACCGTACTTAAACATTGATTAGGAGTAAAATCATAATGTAATTCTAACGGATTCAAAGGAACCACGTGATCCTTAACCATTCGCTGGTTTAAATATCGCGCATCTAAACAAACCCTTATGGAGTTATCTTTCTTTTTAACAACAACTAACGGAGATACATATTCCGTTTGCTGCAATTTCACTACCCCCCACTCTAGCATTTCAGCCAATTGTCGACGAACTTCTTCCCGATATGCATGGGGAACCGGATAAGACTTACAATAAAAAGGAGTGTAATCATGCAAGTAAATTTTATGTGTATACATTTTCGTCAGCCCTGGTTGGTTTGAAAATATATCTCTATATTGCAAGAGTAAGTCCATTAATTTATTTTTATATTCGGTATCGAAACATTCTGAATTATACG